ATTTAACATTTATACTTGCATACTCTCATACTTTTATCATGCTTGTAATTATTTTATTTTTATTATCTGTCTATTTTTCTGTGTAAGCATACTTGCCAGTGCTTTTTTTTTTGCATAAATTATGCATTTTATTGTTTTGATATAACATCTCCATCTAACATGCCTGTGGACAAATGGAAATCCATGGTCTCTTGGATTAGTTCATAGACGCATATCATATCATATTTGAACTGTGAACCGAATAATGTTAAATGACAGATTTTAACATCTGTATCTGTGTTTTCTGTATCCTGTAGACTCTTTGGGAGGGAGGACTGTACAAACTGAGAATGCTCTTTAAGGATGATTACCCATCTTCACCACCCAAGTGTGAGTTTTCTCTTCTACGAAAAATGTTAAATCCTATGTAGTGCTTATCATTGTCTTTGCCACTACACTTCCACATATATTTCCTGTCACTGGTGCTCATAGACACTGAAAAGCTGAGAAATAACTGTTGTAAAGCTGAACAGTATGTTTGACTTGTTCATTTTCTTCTCAGGCAAGTTTGAGCCTCCAATCTTCCATCCAAACGTCTATCCTTCAGGTACAGTGTGTCTGTCCATACTAGAGGAAGAGAAGGATTGGAGACCAGCCATCACCATCAAACAAGTATGCAAAAACACAAATGTGTGTGCTTATACACTACTGTTCAAAAGTTTGCAGTCGGAAAGATTTTTGAAAATGTTTTTGATGTTCACCAAGGCTGCATTTATTTGATCAAAAATATGGTAAAAACAGTAATATTGTGAAATATTATAACAATTTAAAATAACTGTTTTCTATTTGATAGGGCTGGTCCGAATACCATTTTTTGAGCTTCAAAGCTTCGGTAGTAATCAACACCGAATATTCGAAGCTTCGGAGGGAGGGGGCTGAACATATTCTTCTCTCTAACACTGTGTCTACACTGGACGCGAGCGGCGCAACAAAATACAATAGAACCTATGTTGTCTACACTGGATGTGGCGTGGCGCGGCTGACAAAAATCCCCGACAGTAAAACAGTAGAAACTGCAGCTGCGTTCTATTTATGACGTGCTGACACAAATTTCAAATGATTTTCAACGGTCGCTTTGTCGCGTCCAGTGTAGACAGACTTTAGCTGTTGCGGCGCGACACGACAACTGTCGCGTCTGGTGTAGACACGGTGTAATAAATAAAGGCAGGAATCTCTGTGCGTCTGTCTGTCTGTTTGCATTTTTATTTTGTCGAGAACCTTCACGCGTGGCAGGTGTGTTGCTGCGGAGCCAAGGGAGTGCAGTGTCGCATTTTGGTGCAATATGGACGCACGACACGTTCAGAATGAATAAACTTTTAATAAACTACAGAACAGCGCAAGCCAGAAGCGGTGCGCCTCACGCGGGCAGGGCTTATATGCTTCGAGAACGGACACTGCACTAGTGATACAAAACACACAGGTCTGTTAAGAGCCGTACTACTTACAGAAATCGGGTGATTTTTCAAACTTGATGTGCTGTTGTGGTAGGCCCGTTTTAAATCGCATATTTGGCACACTCACTGCCTTTGTTTTGTCCTCACTCAATTTAAATTGCTCCCACACAGCTGAGGTCTTCGGCATTTTTGTCTTCTCTTCCAGATGAACTGAATCATGACGTTCACTCATGGGCGATTCATATTCAAGGGCCAATGAGAACCGTTTGGCGGGGGATGCCAGGTGTTAGGGAAAAAAAAAAAGAATATTCGAATCTCAAAATTGAAAGTCGAATGCTAACCCACCGAACAAATAATCGAATATTCTGGTCCAGCCCTACTATTTGAATATATTTAAAAATGTTATTTATTCCTGTGATGCACAGCTGAATTTTCAGCATCATTACTCCATGATCCTTCAGAAATGATCCTAATATGCTGTTTTGCTGCTTCAGAAACATTTCTTATTATTATCAATGTTGAAAACAGTTGTGCTGCCCAATATTTTTCCATAAATCATGATTTATATTTTCCAGGATTCTTTGATAAACATGAAGTTCAAAAGATCAGCAGATTTTTTTGTTACATTATAAATGTTTTTACTAGTGCTGTCAAACGATTAATCACGATTAATCGCATTCAAAATAAACGTTTTTGTTTACATAATGTGTGTGTGTGTGTGTGTGTGTGTGTGTACTGTGTATATTTATTATGTATATATAAATACACATGCATGTATACATGTCAGAAAAATATGTTTATGTATTAAATATATTTATATATAATATAAATTATATGAATATAAATATATACATGTAAATACAAAATATATGCTGTATGTGTATTTATATATACATGATAAATGTACACAGTACACACACACACATATATTATGTAAACAAAAACTTTTATTTTGGATGCGATTAATCACTTGACAGCACTAGTCTTAACTTTCACTTTTGATCATTTCAATGCATCCTTGCTGAATAAAAGCACTAATTTGCTAAAAACAACTTACTGACCACAAACCTTTGAATGTGTACAATTTATCCATTATGATATTAACATTAAAGATCACAGTTGCTCATAAGGTTAGACATTTGAACAAACCTTTTAAGCAGTAAGTTTTTGTATCTCAATATGTTGTTGTGGCTGTAGATATTGTTGGGCATCCAGGAGCTCCTGAATGAGCCCAACATTCAGGACCCAGCGCAGGCAGAGGCCTATACGATATATTGGTAAGTGCAGCCAAATATCACCTGCACGCTTTTATATATGATTTTACTATTTCATCTGATACCGTGCCTACAAAATTGATCTTATCTCTCTCTCTCGCAGTCAAAACAGGATGGACTACGAAAAACGTGTGAGGGCACAAGCTAAGAGATTTGCTCCTGCATAGAGCGGCACGTGCACAGTCTTATAAAGAAATTCTGCACAGATGCCAATCTGATGCTCCAGAATCCTTCACCACTCAATGAAAACCCCAAAACTGCAGTTGAGAGTTGAAATAAAGATTTGTTCAAGCTGGCTTCAGCACAGAACTGAATGAGAATGGGTGCAAAACAATTCTAAGATGAAAGCAACCGAGACAAGTTAATGTTGGCTGCTGATCACTGACCAGTGTTTTATATAGTGATGGTGAAATCTTGTTTTGTTTAGGTTTTTTTTTTTCTGATGAGGAAAATTGTTGGTGATCAGTCGGCTAAGAAACAACTTTTACACAGAGCAGAGATGGTAAAGTTTTCTGTGTGTGTATATATATATATATATATATATATATATATATATATAGTATAAATA